AGTCTTACATGCTTGTATGCAATCATCCTGCATACATCAGATTGTCTCATTATTGTTAGAATAACAAAAGCATTAAGAAAGCATAAGGAATCGTTCAACTAATTTGACCCTGGGAATTGAGAATTTTGTGTTGCATTATAATGTGGTGGAGAAGTGGAAGGAAAACTGAGATTGTACAAATGGGATGAGTGGTTTCAACTGCTTTGTAACCACCTGATTCTGTGAGAACTCAGTCCCACAAAAACTGCATTCATTCCTTCATGAGGATGGTGGGAACCCAAACATCTCCTAACACTGCCACATGGAGCAATTAAGGTTTCAACTTCTGGACTTCTGGGGAATACATTCAAACCATAGCATGCTTTCTTCTTATTTTCCCCTCGTACAGGTATTTTCCTTAAGAAAACCCTGGCATGTTTAGTCTGATTTTGACATCTCATCTGGATTAAGTAGAATATAATCTTAGGAGACTTTTTCTTAGCTTCAGAGTGAGTGAGCTCTGCTCTGGGTGGACACATTCTCCCTCTTGGGAAACACCCAGGGTTGTGGGTCAGTAGCAGTATCTTCTAGGATGAAAGACTGATTGTAGGGAAGTGTCTTCTTTTTTAATACTCATTATGATGTGAATGCTGGATTCTTTCTGGGTTATACTTTTAAAATCTTCATTATTGGCTGGGCATGGTGGCTCATGCCTGTAATCCTAGCACTCTGGGAGGTTGAGGTGGGTGGATTTCTTGAGCTTAGGAGTTTGAGACCAGCCTGAGCTTGAGCAAGTCCCTGTCTCTAAAAATAGCTGAGCATTGTGGCAGGTGCCTATAGTTTCAGCTACTCTGAAGAGGCAAGAGGATTGCTTTAGCCCAAGATTCGGAGGTTGCTGTGAGCTATACCATAGCACTCTACCAAGGGTGACAAAATGAGACTCTGTCTCAAAAAAAAAAAAAAGCAACCCCCCCAAATTGTTGACATCTCCAACTATAATGATTGATTTGTCTACAAAAAACTTTATTATTAAAAATTTTTGTTTAAGGCCAGATGCAGTAATCCTAGCACTCTGGGAGGCCAGGCAGGTGGATTGCTTGAGCTCACAAGTTCGAGACTAGCCAAGCAAAAGCAAGACCATGTCTCTACTAAACAAGGTAGAAAAACTGAGACAAGAATATCACTTGAGCCCAAGAGTTTGAGGTTGCTGTGAGCTATGATGCCATGGCACTCTGCTGAGGGCAATAGCTTAAGACTCTGTCTCAAAGTAAAATTTAAAAAAAAAAATTATTATATATCATGGCCCTAGTATTTTATTTTAAATATATCTTTATTCTCCTGGAAAGAACAAATGTGAAATATTTGGCATTTAACAGGAAAAATAAGAAACTATCGTATAAAGAATAATTGTGGAATGATTAGCAAAAGGAACCATCACAAAGAGAAATTTTGGAGGAAGGTGGTGTCTTTGTCCATTTTGTGTTGCTATAACAGAATACCTGAGACTTCATAATCCATAATGAACAAATATTTATTTGGCTCATGATTATGGAGGCTGGGAAGTTCAAAATCAGGGACTGGCATCTGGTGCGGGCCTTCCTGCTCATCATCCCAGGGCAAAGGCAAAGGGGGAAGGAAGAACAGTATGCAAGAGCGGGAGGGAACCAAGCTTCATTTTACAATAAACTCATTTCTGAGAATTAATGGAATTAATCCTTTCATGAGGTAGCGACCTCCTTACCTAGTCACTCATCATTAGGTCCCACCTTTCAACACTGTTTCAAGATTCTAACGTGTGAACTTAAGGGACACATTCAAACCACAGTAGGTAGTAACCAATTAACATCCTTTATTGGAGAAGAACAAACGTCGTAAACCATAGCATGAAGTGCCAGGCCTGAACATAAGGGAAAATTTGGTCCAGAGAGATGGGAAGTATCATGGACTAATATTTGAAAGCAGATGTTTTTGAAAGACCTCAAACTAGATTTAATGTACACAAGAACCTTCTCGGGAGCTTTTCAGAACTGCAGATTTCAGCAGAGATTCCTACTCAACAGGTCTGAGTTATTATTATGTTTATATTCAGAAATCTGTGTTTCTGTAAGCTTCTGGAATTATTCTGATGTAGGTGTTCTGTGGCTAACATTTTAGAACAGGCTACTCTAGATGGTTTGGCTGGGATAGCTTCATGTTTGGGATATACGGAGGCAGAAAGATAGACCGAATGCTCTCCTTAGCCCTTGAGTCAGCCTTGGAGGCAATGGACTATTCATGTTTTCCAAAAGATATCAGAATATTTGAAAGAATTTCAAGAGTTTTCTAAAATTTTCCAGGATACAAATTTAATAATAATGTTGTGCAAATAGAGCTATTTTCCCACACTGATTTAACATTAACTTGACAAATGTTTTTCAATCTTTTCCACTGTAGAAATAGGATAATAACCATAGCTACTTCAGTGGGTAGTGGTAATGTTGAAATGAGGCAAGTTATGTAAAACAATTAGGACAATCCCTTGCGCGTTATAAAATAGGAATTGTCAAATGTTTTCTATAAAGCCTCAGACAGTATTTTCTATAAAGCCTCAGTAAGTATTTTGGGTTTTGTGGTTCATGGTTTCTGTTGTAACTACTCAACACTACCATTGTAGCTTGGAAGCAGCCATGGACAATAAAAGAAAGGGTGTGGCCGTGTTGCAATAAAACTTTACAAAAACAGTGGTTGGGCTGGATTTGGCCCATGGGCAGTAGCAGTTTGCTGACACTTACTATAAAGACTTGATACATTTCTTCATTGCTAGTAATATAATGGCTTGCAAATAATCTTTAATAATTAGCAAAGCAATCAATTTTTAATCAAGAACAAAGAATATATATCATTTGCAATTTTTTTTTGTTTGTTTTTTGAGACAGAGTGTCATTTTGTTGTCCCCAGTAGAGTGCTGTGGCATCGTAGCTCACAGCAAATTCAAACGCTTAGACTCAAGCAATTCTCTTGTGTTAGCCTCCCAAGTAGCTGGGATTACGGGTGCCTGCCACAATGCTTGGCTATTTTTAGAGACAGGGTCTGGCTCTAGCTCTGGTCTCAAACCTGTGAGCTCAGGCGATCCATCCACCTTGGCCTTCCGAAGTGCAGGGATTATGGGCATGAGCCACTGTGGCTGGCTTATTTGCAATTTTTTTAAAAAAGAAATTTGCTTATAAGAACAATGTAGAAAAAATCTTGCGTATAAACACTGGTGTAATGTCACTGAACTTTAAAAGTTTCCACTACAGAGATTGCCATCTCATTGTTCTAGGCCCTTAAGGGAGAAATGCGGGCCAAAATTGAGAATAATCTCCACAAAGCCTTGGGAGAAATAAGAGGAGAAATTTGCCAAAACTGTTAATGTCTCTGACCTTTGTCTTCTCTTTGAAGGCCTTGGTCTGAAGTCATGACATAGCTTATTACCCAAAACACAGTTCAGGGAAAGGGAAGCTGTAACAGATGTTCTATAACCTGATGTTTATCTATTATGTTGCTCAATGTCTGTTGGCATTGAATGGCTTGTGTTTGTTTCAGACTTTAGTTCTGAGAAAATGTTTGTCTTTTCTAATAGACTAACATATTTCCTGTTATCAGATGGCAAAAGAGGACATATTGCTTAGCTTTTTGTTGCCTTGGTTATCCATAAGACTGGAGCTAGACGCAAGACTCAGTCATTATAATGCTTTTTATCTACTTGTGAGATATTAGTTTCTTCCTTGATTCTTATTTTTTACCAACTGTCAATGATCATCTTAAATGTTATTGCATGGGTATCTTTCATTGTAAATTTTTTTCAATTTTTTTTTATTAAGTCAAATACACATAGATCATGAACACATTTATGCATAGGTGGGGGTACAATGTGTTGATTTTCTTAAAATACAATCTGACGTGGTTACATCAAACCAATCAACATAGCTTTCACCTCATTTACTTGATTATTGTGTTAAGGCATTTATGTTCTACACTTGACAGATTTGACTTGTACCCTTGCAATATGCTCCATAGGTGTGGTCCTGCCTTTTATCCTCCCTCTATCAAACCTCCCACCTCCCCTCCCTTCCCCCATTTCTCTCCTTCGTCCTGAGCTATAGTTGTGTTCTATCTTTCATAACAAAGTGTGCGTAAATATAAGTAGGTTTCATAGAAGTACTGAGTACATTGGATACTTTTTTGTCCATTCTTGAGATACTTTACTCAGGAGAATATGTCCCAGGTCTCTACATATAAACATAAAAGAGGTAAAGGCTCCATCTTTTTTAAGGCTGCATAGTATTCCATGATATACATATATCACAATTTATTAATCTATTCATGGATTGATAGGCACTTGGGCTTCTTCCATGACTTGGCTATTACAAATTGAGCTGCAATGAATAATCTGGTGCAAATATCTTTTTTGCAAAGTGATTTTTGGTCTTTTGGATATACTCCTAGTAGAGGAATTACAGGATCATTGTAAATTTCTTTAAATGCTTTTTAGGTCTAGCTGAAATATAAGGAAAAAACTTATAAATAAAAGTAATTGATTCATATTTGCAAAGAAAATGCTGTTTTATGTATGAAGTTCCTTGAAAAGTAACATATATATGACTATAAATAAAACTGTTAATATATACTTTGTCAATAATGGAGGTAAAAAAGTAAATTAAAAGTACTAAAAGTAAATTAAAAAAGTATATTATGGGGCAAGGTTATGATCTTCAGTTCTAGACTCCAGTAAACCAGGGTTCCAATTCCAGTTGCATCCCAAGACCAATTGTGTGTTGTTGGGCATGTTACCCAATTGCTCTGAATCTCAGTTTCATCACCTATAAAATGGATATAATAGCTATATTCATCTCACAGAGTTACTGTGAGAATTGGATGAATACTATATATGAAAGGCACATACCATAGCATCTGGCCTATAGCCATTATCCATGTATATATTTATTAGCTATCTATTAGAGCATGTTTATTTTTTAATTTTTCCAGAAGTGCTTCTGCCAAAATATAGGAAATGTGACTATTTGCTTGTCTTTTGGTATGAGGCTCTAAAAGTCTGTCTAAGCAGTGTTGTTTTCTAAGTCTGTCTTCTCATTTTTTTCTCTAGTCGTTTTGAATGATCCCCTGCTAAGTAAATGGAACGTGACCTCACACCTGAAAAGTTTGTTATTAAGTGAAGTTTGGAGAGAAAGAGCATCAGGAAGGTTGTGCAGGAATTTCAAACATTTATCCACAATTTAAATGGTCCAGTAATCTACACCATGGGGACTGCTTTTCATTCTGTATGATTCTACTGTTTGCCCGCACAGCTCCCCTCTGTCAGGGATGGGAGCACACTCTACCTGGGGCCAGTGTTATTTTATGACACGTTTTGGAAAATCTGTTGAACTAAGGTAAGGGTGGAATGGCATAGATGTTTCATAATTCAATTTTAATTTTGAACATAGACCTAATTCTGGTAATCCTCTACCACGACCCCTCTTATTTCTCCTAACTCTAAAAATGTACCATTAGAATGTAGATTTGGTATTTTTTCTTTTAGTCATTTTCTTTCTTTTAAGACATACTGACTGGCAAGATAATCAAGGCAAAAGAATTATGCTGAAAGATTAGAACCATTGAAGTTGGAATAAAAAGGCCACAACCACAGCAAAGAGCCCCAGGATTGTCAACAGAGAAGAAACTGGGGAAGAAGATGAAGGCTTCAGAGTTCGAGTCTTTAAAGGCTTCAGTATCCTTTGCTTCTGGGTGAAGATGGCATCCCTGGCTCCTTCCCACTTCCCCGGCCCAACAAGGCGATACTGGTAGGAGTTGCAAGGTCCAAAATAGAGTTTCACAGCCAGTTGGGGGTCCGTTAACAAGAGAAAGCCAAAGCTTGGCTTCGCACCTATCTCTAAGGCGAGCTCATCCAGGTAGTCCACGTAATTGGTTTGCAATGTCTGGCTCAGGCTTTCTCCAAACCTTAATGAAGAAAGTAAAAAGGGAAGATTCACGACATGTTCTAAATTATTCATGTAAGAATGTTAGGCATTGATAGCTGTTGAACAGATAAAGGAATGGGTGAATAAATGAATGAGGCTTGAATGAATCTCTGGTGGTGTGAATTTAGTTCATCCAAAGACCCGTGTCTCAGAGGATAGGCCATAAAGAAAATAGTCATGAATTCATGGAAGCTCTAGGACAATGATGAGGTTGATAACTATGATTGTTACTGGTTAGCTACTGAGCAGCTGCAAGTCTCCAGGCAAGTAGTTCCATTGTTGTCAAGATACATGAGATAACACATATGGAAGCATAGTGGAGTGTCTTGCCCAGAGGTGAGCTTAGCATTTACTTGTTAAATTACTAAAGTATCTTGCAAATGTGGGAAGCACATACTAGATACTCAGTAAGTACTAGATAAGTTAGAATTCGAGCATGAGATAACTCCTTACACCTGATGGAAAACTCCCCTATCAGCTTCCCAAGGGTGCTACATCACAGTTGACCCCCATTCCTCCTTGCCACAAAGTACAAATCCTTTAACCTTCATGGCAACCCATTTCTAATTTATTTTGATGGGGATCCTCCTGTTAACTTTCCATAGGTATTTAAGCTACTGTCACCACCACTCTTTTTATCCCACTCTCTCTCTAACCAAAGAGTGTGGGTGGCCTGAGATGATAATGAAATCTGACAGGGGCATCATAAAAAACTAAAATGAAATTAAATGAAGAATAATGAATTAAATGATTAAATGATTCCCATCTTTTTTCTTTTCTTTCTTTTTTTTTTTTTTTTTTTTTTGAGACAGCTTTATCTTGTCATCCTCAGTAGAGTGCTGTAGTATTATAGCTCACAGCAACCTTAAACTTCTGGGCTCAAATGATCCTCCTGATTCAGCTTCCCAAGTAGCTGGGACTATAGGTACCCTCTACAACACCCAGCTATTTTTAGAGATGGGAGTCTCACTCTTGCTCAGGCTGGTTTTGAACTCCTGAGCTCAAGCAATATACCTGCCTTGGCCTCCCAGAGTGCTGGGATTACAAGCATGAGCCACCACACCTGGACAATGATTCCCATCTTCAAGTAGTTGGTTCTTAAACCAAAGAAGAAATTTAAATTTTCAGTCATATCCACAGAGCTTCTGACTCCCTGAATCTGGGCTGTGGCCTAGGACTTTGCGTTCCTATCAGGCAGCGAGGTGGTTCTTGTAAGTAGTTAGATCCCTGTACTTTCAGAAACACTGCTTTATGTAAAGAATTTTTTAAAAAGCATTCTTACAGGTCAATTTTTTTCTTAGTCCTCTCGATAATGTCTGCCAACATTGTGTCCTCCGAGGGCAAGCTACATAAACCTAAGAAATAAAAGGTTGGTTTCAATAGCAAGTTTGATTCACTATCATTGCTTTATCTAGCAGTTTATTCTAAAATTAAACTTTGGCCATTTAACTTCATTGACCAGTTGAGGCTGCTGGGTTGTTGATCCCCAGATGGCGGCACTGCCATAGCGTTGTCTGTGATGCTGCTCAGGGGAGTCCTGTGAGTAGAGAGGGCTAAGAGGGGATGCTAGAAGCCATGCCCAGGAGATTGGGCTCTATCCTGAAACCATGAGAGACCTTCATGAGGTGACAAACTCAGACTTGCCCTTTGGGAAGATCTGTCAGGTTTCTGAACTTAGAAAAATGGAGTCCAGGGAAGCAAGCCTAAAGTTAGAGAGATCAGTTAAGAGGCTGTTGAAGTAAACCCAGTGAGAGATGAGAGTGGCCCGAACTATGATAGGACAATGGGGATAGACAAAGGAGATTGATGCAAGAGTCATGCATGTTCATGATTCTATCTGCTGTCCACACGTGTCCCCTGAGCTTCAGACATATTGATAAACGTCCAGCCCCCCTACAATATGTCTAGTCATTCAACATCTCAGGGTCAAGTTGTCCAACCCAGACTCCACACTGACCCCCCTGTCTGGACTTGCATCTTCTCCTGCACCCTCCTTCTCTACTCACAGCACTACTGTCTACCCAGTTTTTATTGCCAGAGATCTGCAAGTCCTCCTGGGTTCCTCTGTTTTTCTCATTCTTACACATTAAACAAATCACAGAGTCCCACTGATTTTATCCTTAACTATTTCTATGTGTATATTGTCTAGGCCACTTTGTCTCTCTGGTGTGGCCCAGATTGCACTGTATGTAAGTACTGACTATTGCAGAAGCCTTCTTTCCTATCTGAGCATCCATTCTCTCTCCCCTTCCCCTTTAAATCTATATTCCACACTATTGCTGCCTTATGCCTCAAGTATAAATCTGATAATACCTGCTTCTTGTTAATAATCCTTTATTGATACCTTTGTTTGAAGAACTCTCTAAAATGCAAAATCCAAGTCCTCAGACTAGACTTAATCAGGATACCTCAGGGTCCACCAGGTGATTTTTATATGTAGCCAGATTTAGGAAGCACTGATCTAAATTTCATAATCCAAGCTTAGCACCGATGCCTTACAAAGTTCTCATGTCCTGTCCCCTTCTTTTCCAAGAGTGATCTCCATACATCATGGTCTGTGTCAAACAGCTTGCATCTGTCCATAGGCGGCCGCTGTGCTTTTGCTCAGGAGATTCCCTTTCCTGCGTCTGAGACACATGGTCATCCAGAACTTTCCTTTGACCATTTTGCCCTCCTTATCCCACCCTGGTGCATGCTCTTTCTCTTCTCAGAGCACTGTAGGCATTACTCTATTAAAGCATTTGCCATGTTTTGTTGAAATAATCTTTTTAAATTTATCTCTGTCCTACCAAGTCCCAGAAGAGGGCTAGGTATTCAACGAGTTTTTTGTTGAGCAGAATCAAATTCTGGAGATAGGGAGATAATAGCCGTCTGAGGGGATGAAGATGCTCAGGAAGAAGTTTCTCAATAATTTTATAAACTTATGAGGATTTGTGAGGTTGAGCTGCTCAGGTATTAGGACTTAATTTGGATTTAAGTATGGGTGAGGCCCTAGGTTTCTTGATTTACACATATTCTGGGGAAATTACAAATACCATAGACATAGACATAGACATAGACATTTTCCTTCTTAAACTTACCTCTCATGATTCAAAGAGAGGTAAGTTGAAATTGCTAGTTGAATATGCTAGTTGAAATTCTCTCAACTGTCTAATATTTTAAAGGAATGATTGAAGGAACTCATTATTATTATAAATTCCTGTATTTGTTATTCTATGAATTCTCCACTAACTTTTTAGAATGTTAATCTTGTGAGAGAAGTCAAAGTTGTCTAACTTCTTAGAAGCCTTCTTATTTAAGGAAACCTTCTTATCAATATTGAGCAAACTTTACCCAGTAAAACTTTACTTGGTCACATACCTGCCCATGCACTCACCTTTGAAAACTCTTGTCACCCAACGAGCTTGAAGTTCAACAGTTGGGAAAATGGAACCTAGGGGCTGGATGAGACCAATGCATGCAAGGGTTGACTTCTCGAGGTGAGGTGGGAAAATATATTTATACAGCGAGATCATGTTATTTTCTACTTTAACAAGTGATTCTTCAAGGAAGGGAAAAGAGAAAGTATATCCTGTTGCAAAGACAATGACATCAATGTCTTCCTCCACTGTTTCATCCTCAAAGATGGCAGACGTTTCTGTGAGCTCTTTCACTCTAGATTTCACCTTGATGGCTCCATAGAGCAGACGACTTGGAAGATCATCGTTTAATACAGGTTCTTTCATAAGGTATCTGAGACACACAGAAAAAAACACTCAGAAGGACCGTTTACTTGAATCCTCTTGATGTTTTTTTTTGGTGGCTCTGAAAATGAAAGAGTTTATCAAATATTTATAAAACTCTAACTTGACTAGTTGGTCTACCCCAACCTTTACTTCCTAACTTAATTCTCATGTCACAAATACCTCCACCAAATAAATAATAGAAAGCATGTAGGTGGCGTGTGTCAAAGATACTTCAAAAAATGAAGTATCTCCAAGGGCTTAGACAAAATGTCTGTGTTTAGGGTTAATCCTTGAGTATTCTGGTGTTTATTTATTTATTTATTTTTTTTTGA